AAACATTTTTCGGGGGGACAACCCCCCATAAGAAAGTTGAGGGGGTAGTCAGGTCAATATACGGTAAAAAAACACCCCAACCCCAAAAATTGCAACAAAAGGTTTTTCAACGGTTTCTAGTAGTAATCGACCTCAGGAATAACATACTAAAAGTAGACCAAAATCGGAGTTTCAGAAAGCCGTTATTTTCAAGATGGCGTCCAAGATGGCCGCCGATACCTAAAAATGGCCATAAATCACTTATTATCCATCCTAGAGACATAATTTTGGTGTCTATCCCATGGTTTCGGGGGTCAGAGAATCCATTTAGACAAGTTAGAATGTTTGTAGATGGTCTAGGAAACCCTCAAAATCCAAGATGGCGTCCAAGATGGCCGCCGATACCTAAAAATGGCCATAAATCACTTATTATCCATCCTAGAGACATAATTTTGATGTCTATCTCATGCTTTTCGGGGCGAAAATACATTGAAATGAGTTAACATGTTCATTGGTGGCCTAGGAAACCCCCCAAATTTAAGGTGCCTCACCCCCCTCCCCCCTGACAAAATGTTTTTTTTTTTTTTTTTTTTTTTTTTTTTTTTTTTTTTTTTTTTTTTTTTTTTTTTTTTTTTTTTACTATTGAAGCATATAACCTAAGTAACAGGTTAAATGTATCATCGATGCAACACCAACTGACGTACATGAAGCATCATCATTTATTCAGATATTTGACACAATGTGCCCAAATAGATGTCAACCGGGCATGGTGGCTCAGTGGTTTGAGCGCCCGCCTCATGAACGGGAGGTCGTGGGTTCGAACCCCGGCCGAGTCATACCAAAGACTTATAACAATGGGACCTTCTGCCTTCTAGCTAGGCGCTCATCATATTAGATTGGAGAAGGTAGTAATAGTAATAACATTATGTTATGCAGGGCCCGCTGGAAGAACAGTTTCATAACTGAAGCGGCTACCCTGGGTAAATAAACGTTATTATTATTATTTATTATTATTAACCTAATGAGAGGCATTGGAATGTATGAGAAATCATTCAGGCAAGAGAAAGACAATAACGAAGACTACACACTAGTGAAATCATTGTTTAATTCTTCATTCCATAAGTAGACACCGAGGACAAAGGAACATCTGTAATGTAAGTTTCTTTATTCCATAATGTAGTAGAACAAAATAGGACAAAGGAGCATCTGTAATGTAAGTTTCCTTATTCCATAATCTAGTAGAACACAAGGACAAATGAACATCTGTAATGTAAGTTTCTTTATTCCATAATCTAGTAGAACACAAGGACAAATGAACATCTGTAATGTAAGTTTCTTTATTCCATAATCTAGTAGAACACAAGGACAAAGGAACATCTGTAATGTAAGTTTTTTTTTCAACATTCATTAGCATATTTTTTGATGTTACATATTCTTTAGATTTGAACTATAACTTTAGATTTTATTTGACAAGGACAAGTAAAAATATTCATGTAAGTATCCTTTTCAGCTTCTCTGAAGTATAATCACGTATATGTGATTAAGTCATGCTTGTTCTTTACCAAAATTTGTTTGAATGGATAAGAATGATGAGATAATGTTTGAAACATTGTTCGGAACTCTGCAACTTTGCAACAATTATTACTATAGTTATTATGAATATCGCATATTTGTTATTTGTTTTAGATTTGAAGATTTACTCAAGTAGATTCACTGTAACCCAGGTACTTAAACAAAGACATCAGACAAGTACGACAGAAAGAGCTGACGTAGATATCAAGGCAAGTGATATAATTGGTGGATGGGGGGGGGGGCATTTTTCCATTAAGTACTAAACGATAAAGTTAGGCCTACATATTTTATTGACATGGTTGTTATGTCAAGGAGGTGATGTCGTTAAAGGATGTACTGAGCATGTTGTGAGGAAAAAAACAAATATGTAAGAATATGTTGACTTTCCCCATTTACTAAAAATATCCATACTGTTGTTTTTAGAATTTGATTAAATGAAAGTAATCAATTAGATATTCCCCAAATTTTTAAAATTGCAAAAGAACTGCAATTCTTTAAAACCAATAATATGTGTTTATGCTATACTTTCCTGATTACAATGTACCCACAAATGTTGGTCTCACAGGTCACTGGTCCGATTATCTTTCAATACTTCTTTCAATACTTCAATATATCTTTCAAGGAGAGGATTTAGGTATTAAGTGTCAATCCTAACTTAAACCTTCGCCCTACTCTCAACACTTCCTTTCCCTTAACATATCTAATTCTTAGTAAAAACAATCCCTCATCCAAATATGTCTCACCAATCCTTTATTGTGGATGCCACGAAGAGAGATTACTTGGACCCATGAGCTATTGGACTAACTGTTTTCATATAATTTGTGAACAACAGTTTCAACAAATCCTCTGAGCAGAATAGCATTGAACATGATGACTTTTATATTTCCTTCAATGCACTGTATGTGTGAACTATTGCAACTGGCTTTATCTCCTGCTGCATGTCTCACAATGAGTTCAAGCAAGGTTAACTACGATATTTGCCCAATTTGCACAAAAACTTTTGACAATGAAGATGATGTTTGCCAAATAAGACAGAAAGGTGCTGATGGCATCAACCATGCAAGCGCTCAGAGAGGTGACAGTCTTGTCGTCATACCTGGCACTAAAGTGCACATTTCATGCCGCAGATTATACATCAACCCAAGAAACTTTAAAAGTGAAATGAATCAGAAATGTGGACCATCCAACTCAGTATAAAAAAGTGCTCGAATGTCTTTAGGTCCCTTCAACAGCAAAACAGATTGCTTGTTTTGTGGGAATAGTATTGTTTTAGAGAGTTCAGATTACAGTTATGTTAAGACTGATACATTTGTTAAGACTATACTAGAATCATGTAATGATAGGTCTGACAATCGGTCTTTCTCTGTGAAAGGTCGCATAGAGTACTTTGGATCTGATCTTCATGCTGCGGATTGTTTGTATCATCATTCATGCAGTCGCAATTTCCGGACTAGTCGTGATGTACCACTGAAGTTCCAGAGTGCGCCTGAATCCAAGCGGAAGAAATCTGGAAGACCAAAAGCTCTGGATTTGGAGCAGGCATTCTCAAAAGTGTGCTGATATCTTGAGACCCATGGCGAAGAACAACTTACTATTTGTGATCTCAGTAACGGATGAAGATTCACTTCCCTATGGCAATCAGTACCTCAAAAGCAAATTGAAGGACAGATATGGAAACTCTCTTCATATTGCAGAAGGTGAAGGTCTGCATGACATTGTGACTATGAGAGAAAAGGCATCTGAGATACTCAGGTCATACTTCAAACATCAAGAGGGTGATGAAGAATCCCCCAAAAGAGCTATCATTGAAACAGCTGCAAGGCTCATCAAAAGTGACATCAAGACTAATGTGCCTTCAGTGACTGATCAGTACCCTAGTTCTGAGATGCTCAAGCTCGACTCAACCCTCGCCTACATTCCTGAAACTCTTTATTTATTGTTAGATTCCTTGTTTGTAGGTACAGACAACCGACGTAAAGTTGCAAGTATTGGTCAGGCAATCATCCAGGCAGTTCGACCAAGAGCTACAATTGTGCCGTTGCAGATCGGCCTCGGTGTACAAACACATCATTTGCACCTTTCAAAGTTCCTTGTAGATACGCTGCATGAGATGGGCTTTAGTTCCTCCTATGGTGATGTCCTACGATTTGAAAAAAATGCAGCTAGTTGTGTTGCTCCAGACATCCTGGGTAAGAATGTTGATCTACAAGACACTACATTTCTATTTGCTGCTGACAATGTTGACCATAACATTATTACCATAGACGGCAAAGGAACATTTCACGGAATGGGCATGGTTGGTGCTTTGACACCAGCAAAGAAAGTGAGTCGCATCATTACGAGGCGAAATACTTCAGACTCGAAAATCACAGATAATTCGAGAGTTGAAATCATAGATCTACGCTTTGCCAAGCATGTATGTCGCAGTATGAAATATCAAGACCTACCAAAGCTGATTCCTGACTTTGATATGAGAATTGACATCCTTTGGGAGCTCGCATTCAGCTTCAGACAGAAAACCCCGAACTGGCCGGGCATGATGCACACTTTTCATCGAGGGAAAGATCATCCTGGTCAGTCCTCTGTGATTTTCCTGCCCATGATAGACATGTATTCTGGGGACAAGATCTGCATTCTTTCTACGTTGGAGTTTCTTAGCAATTTAGCAACAAAGCATCACGTTTCTGCAGTCGTAACATTTGATCAGCCCCTATATTGGAAGGCCGCTGAGCTAATCATCGATGCACTACAGGATAGCCCATTGAAAGGGATTGTCTTGAGTTTAGGTTGCTTCCACACCTTCATGAATTTGCTGGGGGCAATCGGTACCATGATGGAAGGAACTGGACTTCGCGAAATCCTTGGAACAGTCTATGGTGATAATGCTGTAACCAATATGATGACAGGAAAGTTAGGTTCAAAGAGCATTCCGTGGACATCTGCTGGTAGACAAGTGTCTGAATGGTATTATTGTAACAGCCATGAGAGATGAGACTCCCGAGGTTGCATCGCTTGTTGATCAGGCAGAGAACATGTACTCTGAGGTGTTGGCAGGCGAAAGAACTTTGGAGAGCACAAACACATCTGATATCATAGCTACGATCAAACAGGAAATTGACAAGAAAAGGAAGGAACTGCAAGGGAGGTCTAAGACCAGTCAGTTGTGGCTAAACTATCAGAAGATGATACAAGTTGCTAGAATGCTGATTACCGCAGATCGCATAGGGTCTTGGTCATTGCACCTACGTGCTGTTGCTGATTGCTTACCAATCTTTGCTGCGGCAGGGCATTTCAATTACTTAAATCTGCACATTTCTATGTGCAAGAAATGAGTGGTCTTGAAACCAAGCATCCCGACACCTACAAAAACTTCACTGATGGATATAGTTCGTCGCACCGACAAGGTCTGGGCCGGCCTCAGCTCTGATCTTGTCATAGAACAGACCTAGATGAGATCACTGAAGGCTACTGGTGGTTTGACACGTGGTAGTGGCATGACTGAGGAACAACGCTCACTATGGACCATGTCTATGCCTGTGACCTCGGAGTATAACAGTGCAATGCAAGAGTTCACACACCTCTCATTTACCATCAGTAATCAGCACAAGGACTTAAGTGAAGCTAGGATCAAGAGAGACACATCTGACGGGTCGAAGATCGACGAAAAGCTTGCAACTTGCACACCATTTTCTCCAGATCCTTCGTTGAGAAATGTGGTGAATGGTGTAGTGGCTTCATCAGAAGTGAATGTACATGAATATGAGTCAGTTGGGAAGAAAATCATGGCAAACATGATTGGACATGCTGTTTTCACAGTCTCGTTCAAAAGGAAAGACAAAGCTACGACTTTGGGAGAGATATCGAAAGTGAAAATTGCACCTGAACAAACCATAGATGCTGCCTTGCTCTTTCAGCGGTTCCTGGTAGTTTCAAAAACAGGGGAGCTTGATCTAGAAGAGGTGATGAGCTATGAGCTCAGTCCGTTCCCACCTGCACTTTTTGAGGCTAGGAATATCTTCCGGAAGGCTGATAAGCCCAGCTAGCTCACGCTATCACCGATCATGCAAGTAAAGTGTCGAGTGAAGCCGTTAAAGACTGTCCACCGAACACAGAACAGTACGTCCTTGATGGTGGTTCCTTGGTGCATTGGATACCATGGAAGACAGGAGACAGCTATGGCACAATAGCCCGATCATATGCTGATTTCACAACCCGCCGCTATGGTTCTGCAATTGTAGTTTTTGACGGCTATGGTGGAGGGCCGTCAATTCAGGATAATATACACTAGCGACGTGGGCAGAATGCCCATCCAGTTGTCAGATTCAATGCAGACACAGTATTCTCAGGCAAGAAGGATGAGTTTTTATCAAGAGACTGCAATAAGCAGGGACTCATAAATCTCATTAGTGAGGAGCTGAGGACGTGTAATTGCACCGTCATCAATGCACCCGGGGATGCAGATGTACATATTGCTAAAGCTGCAGTGAATTCTTGTCGTCGTCATTCTACTACTCTGATTGGAGAACACACTGACCTATTGGTGTTACTCTTGCATTACGCGGATGTAGATAGCAGGGAACTATACTTCCGCTCTGACAATGCAACCAAGGCTCTGAAGGTGTACAATATTAAGCAGTTGAAAGTGGACCTGGGTAAGGATCTATGCTCACAACTTCTTTTCCTCCATGCCTACACTGGTTGCGATTCGACTTCCCAGATATTTGGTATTGGAAAGAAATCAGTCTTCCAGAAGCTTGTAAAAGGCAACCCCACTTTGGTATCCCGTGCTAGTACTTTCCTTCTACCAAGTCAGCCAAAGGAACGAATAGAGGAACTTGGTATCAAAGTAATGTCTGTCATTTTTGGTGGCAGCTGTAATGACTCACTTGCATCATTACGATACAACTTGTTCGTGAAGAAAATTGCCAATGCGAAATCCTTTGTTACTCCAGAGCGACTCCCTCCTACGCCAGCTTCAACCAAATTCCACTCCCTCAGAGCATACTACCAAGTCATGGAATGGATGGAGAGCGAAGGAGACATGAACGTCACAGACTAGGGCTGGAAATTAGAAGGCAATCACCTGGTTCCACTGATGTCGAATATGGAGGCTGCACCTAGTAATCTTCTGAAGTTGATTTATTGCAACTGCTGTACTGCTTGTAGCACTCTTCGCTGTACCTGCAGAGGTTACGGACTACCATGTAACAGTGTGTGTAGACCTTGCCAACTTGATACATGCCACAATCCATATAACGAGTCACTTGATAGTGAAACAGAAGAAGAGTGATGATTTATCCTTACTCAATTACATTCCTCATCAAAATGAAGGTACGAATATCTGCATGTGTATTTGCTAGATGACATGAACAACACAACGTTTTAAACATTTTTAATTATATGGTGGGTATTTGGAATGTGTGTCTAGATATTATTAATAAGTTGTTACTTTGTCTTTGTCACTCTCCCCTCCCCCCGTGTCGACAGTGACCTGTCAATAGTTGAGTTGACCTCTTGGGGTCGTAGCCACCATAAGGGTGAGAGAGATACATTATAAGTTTATTTTCTTTGTATAAATTGCGCCCTCTATTGAGAGATTATAGTGGTTTTGTGGCCCTTCGGACGCCATATTGGATTTTTTGGTTTCCTAAGCCACTGCTTAACGTTCTAACTTATCCTAATAGATTCTTTGACCCCGAAAACCATAGCAGAGACACCCCAATTACACTGTCGCTCATTCAGTTGGAATATTTTTGTTTAACCCTAATTTATGGAATTATTTTAAAAATACTTAAAAAATAATAGATCTAGATGATAGTATACAGTCTCAGATTTTATTGAATAATAATTTGCCAATATGTGTTTTGCGTGACTGCTAAAGCATGTATATTATGCTACTATGCTTATCTACTAGGGTTCCTACGCACTAAAGGCATAAATGCCAGTAATGAGGATTAATGCCCCACAAAAGGGCACTAATATAGCACATCGACACGGTTTTGATCCTGGGGCCTCACAGTTACGAAGCCCTTGCTTGGTCACTGAACCATGACCGTACGCAGCGGGAGCTACGGTAGGGGGCAGTTTCCATAAATATAAAAAAAAACAAAGAAAATGCAATAACATTTCAATTGCATTTTATTGCATTTTATCCCTGTCCCCAACATAAAAAAATCCTCTGCACGGCCATGCATTATGGCTCAAGGCATGGGCACACAAGGGATTTTTTTATTTCGGGGATCGGGGTAAAATGCAATTAATTATTGAAAATTTATTGCATTTTTTTTTTAAATTTATGGAAACTGCCCCTACCCTAGCCTCCGCTGCGTACGGTCGTGGTTCAGTGACCAAGCAAAGGCCTCGTAACTGTGAGGCCACAGGATCAAAACCGTGTCGACGTGCTATATTTAGTGCCCTTTTGTGGGGCATTAATCCTCATTACTGGCATTTATGCCTTTAGTGCGTAGGACCCCTAGTAGATAAGCATAGTAGCATACACATGCTCTAGCAGTCACGCAAAACACACATTGTCAAATTATTATTCAATAAAAACTGAGAATGTATACTATTATCTAGATCTATTATTTTTTAATTATTTTTAAAATAATTCCATAAGTTGGGGTAAAACAAAATATTCCAACTTAATGAGCGACAGTTTACGTTTCTCGGATGGATTTTAAGTGACTTATGGCCATTTTAATGTTATGGCGGCCATTTTGGACGTCATCTTGGATTTTGGGGTTCCTTGGACCATCAGAAACCGTTCTTACTTGTCTCAATGGATTCTCTGACCCCCGAAACCATGGGATAGACACCAAAATTATGTTTCTATGATAGATAATAAGTGATTTATGGTCATTTGTATGTATCGGCGGCCATCTTGGACGCCATTAAAAAAAACAGCTTTCCGAACATTCGATTTTGGTTTACTTTTAGTATGTTATTCCTGAGGTCGAATACTACTAGAAACCGTTGAAAAACCTTTTGTTGCAATTTTTTGGGGGGGTCAAACCATATCTTGACCTGACTAGGGGACCTATTCCCCCGTCCCTCCCGGGATCGTCCTCCCTGATATTATAGAACCGTTACGAAATAAATGTTTCATTATCTTTTTTATGTATGGTATAAGCGGCAATGGGGCCATCGCTTTTGGTTAAAACTATATTGAAACCAATATGACGTGATTTCGAATAAAGATTATTATTATTATTATTATTACTTATACCGCGCTTTCCCCAAAAGGCCCAAGGCGCTTACAGTGAATGAAAACAAAAATTAAATAAATACATATAATTAGAAAAAACAGTCTTACAACTACATTGTTGGTCATATGGTGGAATAATTATTTTTACCCCAATTTATTGACTGATTTTGACAATGATTTATTCCTAATAGATCTAGATAATAGTATACATTCTCAGATTTTATTGAATGACAATTGGCGAGTGTTTGTTTTGCGTGACTGCTAAAGCATGTGTGTGCTACTATGCTAATCAACTAGGGGACCTACGTCCTTAAGTCATAACTGACAGTAATGGGGATTAATGCCTCATAAAAGGGGACTAATAAAGCACATCGACACGGCTCTGATCCTGGGGGCTAACAGTAACGAGGCCATTGCTTCGCCGATGAATCATGACTGTACGCAGCGGGCGCTAGGGTACGTCTACGCCCCCACAAAAACCAAAGAAAAGAAAGAAAATGCATTTAATTATCAATAATTTATTGCATTTTCCCCCAGTCCCTAACAGTAAAGAAATCCTCCGTAGGGCCATTCAATATGGTTCAAGGCATGCCCACATAGAGAATTTGTTATGTTGGGGGTCGGGGCAAAATGCATGAAATATTAAAAAATTATTACATTTTTTGTTTGTTTGACCTTTGGAACCTGTTTATGCTGATGGACATGTTCAACTAGCTTTGTGGATAAATTTAGAGAACATAAACACGCGGTTAATGTAATCTTTACTGAAATTCAACTGTTTCTCCTGAAGGATCCAACTCAGTATTGGACTCCTATCACAAATGGTTTCTGCGCCTGGATGATCTTCTTTAAGAACCTTTTGAGAGCATCCATTGTGACTCTTCACCCATTGATATCAGCTTATCCTAGCACCAAAGACTCAGAGCTCTATTCAAGCTGAGGCGCCTGGGATGAATAACCCTATTAAAAGTAAATGTCGTGTCCATTGAATTTTAACTTTATTAAATAAGCTGAAGTATTAGGAGCAATCCAGCAAGGGGGGGGGGGGGGAATCTGATGAAATATGGCTGCTGCTTTCTGCTGATCATTGTGACCAGATTGACGAGGAAGTGAAAGACTGCTACAGCTGTCACAAATTCCGAGACCTGTTGAAGTGTTCCAGGCATCGCTAACTGATGCAGTTACGATGCAGATGACGGAGCTTCGAGACAAGCTGGAGAAGGCTGAGGGCAATGCTGGGAAATAATTTCAAGAAAAAGGCAGCCATCATAAAATATCTCCAGGAGAAACAGTTACGCATCATTGGGGCATTTCATCGAGGACTAAATGGTGCAGAGCAATTATCACGCAGGAACTGTGTAAGAATTTATGGAATCCCTATCGCTCATTGTACTCAACGGAAACAGCACTGTTGAAAGTAATGAACGATTTTTTATTAGCTGTCGACAGGGGTTATGAGGCAATACTGGTTCTACTAGATTACAGTGCTGCTTTTGATACCGTTTACCATGTGAATTTGATAATCATCCTCGAACGTGACTACGGCATCAAGGATGTAGCGCGATAGTGGCTGGTCTCCTAAAACAAATCTAAAACAAATCAGAGACAGAAGATCGAAGTTAACGATGCTGTTTCCAAGTCTTTCCCCCTATCCCAGGGTATTCCTCAGGGAACGGTCATTGGTCCTTTGGCGTTTGCACTGTACACTGGCCCTCTATCGCAAGTTATCAACGCCCATCAAGGAATCATGCATACCATGTACGCTGATGACTTTCAGTTACATGCTGTCATCAGACCTGAGGATCATGACGTTGGACTTTAAAAGTTACAGCAGCGTAT